TCAAAGATTAAAGAAAAATGGAGGAAAAGAAAATAAAAATGTGAAATGTTTGGTGTATTTAGCAATGATATGCAGTGCATTGACCAAATGGGCTCCAAATGGGGGTGTCATCAGCAAACGCGCTAGGCCCATATTCTCAGTCAGAAAACAAATAAAAAATATAAAGAAAAACGAAAAATACGCGGTGCAGAAAGTAAGGATACGCAGTTCAAATCATCACTGGGTCGTGGATGGGGGTGTGATTAGCAATTAGCAACTAAAGCCCAAACGAAAAATAAATGAAACGGCTGCGTTTAGTGTGTATTTAGAATCATCTTTCAAAATGTGAAGTTAAAACACAACCGTTAGATCACGCCCAAGTCAACCAGTCTCCTCGAATCCAAGGGCCAAGAAGTCATCTTCCTCCTCCAGCCATGAAAATGGGGGGAAAGCTCCATGAACAGAGCTTCACATACCAAGCTTCTCCTAACTCGGGCTCCTTCCAAACTCAACCAAAATCCATGATCTAAAACCCTAACCTGTTCTAAATTCATCCTTGATCACAACCATCCACTTAGATTTCATTGAAATGCCCTCAATCTCTAAACCCGATAATGAATCAAAATTAGGGTCAAACCTCAACTCTAACCATTCTTGAAATTAAAGTGCTCAATCTCTTCCTCATGTTACACTGGTCAATTCCTGCTATCACACCAAGATTATCTCTCAAGATTCAACAAGTTATGGTGCCAAACAGAAATGGTGTCATCATCTTGATCCTCTCCAAATGATCTCAAAATCTCCAGAATCCATCTCCTACTCGTCTCTAACCATTCTAACCTAACAAATCTAACTAAATGCGCTTGAATGAAGGTGTAGAGTAAAAGTTGCAAACCTGTCAATTCTTGAATACTGTCGCTACTCGAAAAATGCATCGCGCAACGACGGGGAGGCGAGAAAGATAGATAGAAGAGTCGCCACCGAACTTTATTTATCCCATGAGGGGAAAGGAAAATATTGAGAAAACCTTAAGAAATAAATGGATAAGTTGGTCTCGCAACCAAGAACGGGTTCGGAAGCCGGTTATGCGAGGGGAAGGTATTAACACCCCTCGCATCCATCGTACTCGATGGGAACCTTTTGTTTGTCGATGTGTGAATTTATTTGCTTAAACATTATGCTATAAGAAGTGTTCCACAGGGTAAAAGAAAAGGTTAGAAACAAGAAAGTTAGGAGGAAAGAGAGAACGGGGAAGAAAATAGAAAGAACAGACTCGGTAGGACTTCGCAGTCCTATGCCTACGTATTCTCAATAGATGTGAGAAAGTCAGAGTCGACGTAGTTCGGGGAACTACAGATATAGGGGGGAATGTGCTCGGCAAGGATTGTGGCCCTTGTGCCTACGTATCTTTACTTGAACGAAGTAAAGAATCAGAGCAGCCGTAGTTCGGCCTACGGTGTGCGGGGAAGTCTTGGTAGACGCTGCTAACGTGCGCATTCTAGCAGTTAGGTGTATTTCTGCTCGCTCGTTGGAGACTTAGGCGTTACCTATTTGCGGTAGAACAGACGTAGCATGCCTTTTTGGGAAAGGGTGAAAAAGAAAAAGGGTGCTCGCTAGGATATTGCAATCCTATGCCTACGTATTCTCAACATGCAAGAGAAATCAGAGCAACGTAGTTCGTGCCTACGGTGCGGATAACCGGTGTGTTTGGGGATGATGTTATCGTGTGTGTTCTAGCAGTTTAGGTGTTTTGCTGCTTGCATGTGAGGAGACTTATGCGTACCTGTTTGCGGTAGAACGGACGTAACATATCCTTTTTGAAAGATTAGGTTTTCGCCACGCGAGGCAAGAAGTCACGTTTGATGGATTGGACTGTTTTTTAGGGGGCGAGACATGTCCTCGGATAGTAACCCCTACGGGTAGTACCCAATTTGTTATCTCAAAGTTTTTATTATAAAAGGGTGTTACGAACTAGGCGTCTTCGTATTGAAAGACGAGCGTCGAAACCACCCTCACTACAGTGGGCATCCCAACACTCGAAGAAGAAGAGGTCTACACCCAATCTTCTCTCTTTAATTCAACATAAAGAGAGTTTCGTTCTCTTATTAAGTGTTTTTGGTTTTGAATGGTAAGTGCTTTGCGACAGAGAACCCTACGGTAAATGTCAGCACTCGGGATAGGAGAAGGCCTACGCCTAACCACTCCACGACCATTCAAGTTTTTGTTATGAAAAGAAGTTTGAAAACGCACTTGGTGCGAGACCGAGGTTTTAGGTGACAAGGGTTACAGAAAGGAGTCGTGAAAGGGATAGGTGGTGGATGGAGGCGTGTCTTCGTATTGAAAGACGAATATCGAGACCACCCTCACTACAGTGGGCATCCCAACACTCGGAAAGGAAGAGGTCTACACCCAATCCTCTCTCTTTAATTCAATACAAAGAATTGATTTTAAGGAGATGAGATTTGAAAATGGATGGGAAGCGTCTTCGTATTGAAAGACGAGTGTCGAAACCACCCTCACTACAGTGGGCATCCCAACACTCGGAAAGGAAGAAAGTCTACACTTAATCCCCTCTTTTAATTCAATACAAGGAATTTGATTTGAAAATGGTTTGTCAATGTTTTTGAATCGAGTTGGGACAAGTGACGAAGAGAGAAAAGAGGTGGTCTCAGATCCAACATTACTTACCAATAATTTGACTGGTAATGAATTACGGAGGTCTCGTCATCGACCCAAAATGGCAAAAATGCCCAAATAAAAAAAGAAATAAAAATCATATATAAGAAAATATTGAAATTACTCTAAAAGAAATTGAAATAAGTTAAAAGAAAAATCTAATATAAATATTTTACAAAACAAAATACATAATATTATTATAATTCTAATAATAATAACCTAATAAACCAAAAAAAACAAAGGATAGTATGAAAATAAAACAGGGGTGATAGTTCAGGAACGAGTGGGATCATCATGGGCCCATTGGCCCATTCACCCACAACAATGCTTGCCGGGAACGAATGGTGAATACAGGCACGAGCGTGGGAATCACGCGGGCACAAAAAAACCTACCATCTCACCAAAAACTGTCACGTTCACCATTGATGAAGGAAAAAAACGCATCCAAACGGCATGGAAGTGAGAGGCAACGCGTTTCAGACAGCAAAAACAATACAACGATCTTGTGATTTATTTACCGTATTCTTCGTCTCACCCATTCATCTCCAGGTGAGTGTTGGTTCTTGCTTGAGGAATAATTTCTCTCGATTTATGGTGGTTTAGATTGTCCGATGATTTCTCGTTTGTTCCTACCTTCTTCAATTCGATTCTGCTCTGGTTTGTTAAATGGGGTTTGTGCATGATTTTCTTAAGGATGCTTTCGGTGCGTGTTGTGTAGGGTTCAGATGGGGCTCGATGGCTTATGTTGATGTCTGGTTGGTGGAGATTTGGAAACGGAGAAGAAGGTCTATTTAGAGTTAAAGAAGATGATGGCTGGAATTATGATGTTTGTGAGATTTGAAGCTGAAAGGTATTGTTGTCGTTTGAGAAGATCAACGGTGGGCGTGTTGTTGTTTTTTCGTCATGGATGATGATGAATGTTTGAAGCTTCGCTGGGTTTTTCGCGGAAGAGGGGATGAGTGAGTTCTTGGTTGTTCTTTCTGGAAAATGTCTCGTTCAGAAATGGAGTGAGGTTGGTGATGAAGGTAAGGGAGGAGACGTGTTTTGGTCAGAAGAAAAGGTCGTGAACGGATGTTGGTTAATGTTGATGATGATGGTGTTTACATGTTTTGAGTTGAAGGTGGGGTTACGTTTGATATTTGGTTTGAAATGCTATGAAGATGATGATGGTTGTGAGTGAGCTCAATGATATTTCTGAGTTGTGTTGAAGAGGATTCGTTTGGTTATGGAAGTGTTCTGAGTTCACGGTTGGTTGAAAATGGAAGTATGAGAAGTCGTTGCTTGGAGTTGGAGGTTCAAGTTGAAAAAGATGATGATAGTGAGCTGATGGAGCTGATGATAAATGAAGATCAATAGAGTTGTGAAGGTTTTCTCAGAGTTAAGACCACTGTTTGGTTGAAGTTCAAAGGTTGTGGTTCCACAATGTAGGTTCTTCTCCTTGATATTCAACGGTGTTTTTATATTATGATGATTTTTTGCTCTATTATGGAGCCCAAAAGCAGGAACAACAGGGTCATACCAATATATTGTCTGGCGTGCAAGTTTTGGTGTGTGAGTGACTGAGGGTAGTACAAGTTGTCGTACCAGTAGTGGTTGTGTGTTTGCAGGTCTGTTGGTTTTTTAACAAAGCTTGTCTGGTGTGGGTTTTCTTTTTCATTGCAGGTTTGTCCAGGTCGGTACAGTCCTTGCAGCAGTGATTTTGTCTTTCTCTTTTCTGATGGAGTGTTTCAGGATAGAGCTATGCAGAATTGGAGCAGGTTTTGCTAGTATTGTTTGGGAAGTTTTGCAGGTGTTAGTTTATTGGAGGGTTTTTAGCTGGTTGTAACAGAGTTGGTCTGGTGTGGATGTTGAGTGTAGCAGGTTTCATTATGGTGTTTTTGTCTTGTTGTAGGCTTGTAGCAGTGGTTTGGTTGTGTGTGGGCTGGTATGTTGCGTTTTCACAATGCTGTACAGAACGGCTTGCTTTGATGTTGTGACTGGCCTTTGATTTCGCCGGTAAAAACAGCACCCCCATTCCTTGTACAAATTTTGTTTAAAGTTTTATGAATCCCTTGATTTGTTTGTTCTTCTTCTAAATCACAATTGGATAATTGTTGCTGCCTCAATTTTGTGATTGTGCAGGTTCTGCTGATGATCAAGTGGCGAAGTACGAGCTGTGTTTCGGTCAGAAGTGAAGCGCCAATTAAACCTGAACTTCACAGATAAGCACTCGATTGAGCAGACGAGTTAGCAACACAGACCTGGATTTTCAAGTTCAGATCCAAACTTCACAGCTCAACTTCACAACATAAAGCAACTTTTGCTTTTGTGATGGCTATCAACTCACAAGATGAGAAGGTGAGATATTAATAATGGGTCCTCTCGTCATTTTCTAACTGCAAACCGTCCATGCCTCTAAGGGCACTTTCATAATTATTGGCATGAGAAGCATTTCTTCCAGCCCGTGTTACTCTCTGAGGATCAGAAGACCCGATCGGTGAACTTCTTTGCCCACCCAAAATTCGGTGTGCTGCTCCAGGGCTAGCCTCAGCAGTGCGTGTACGGACATCTGATTCAGCACCAACAAATGCATCACGGCTACTAGAAACAGCAACTCTCCTGGATGATCCATTTGACTGACCCAAGACATTGGCACTTGAAAGAGTATTCAAAACGGGTCCTGACATTCTGCGCCTCGAGGAATCCACTGATACCAAACCAGGGGGTTGCCCTTCTTCTGCTCCTGTATGTCTGTCAGCATTGGTAACAGCAGGTGGCATTGCAGAACTGGTTCCAGTACCAGGAATGATGGCCCGTGCTGGAGGTGTGGCAAGCTGTGATTGCTGATACTTCAAGATGGTCCATTCAAACACGTAATCAAATTGGAATCCTTCACGAATAAACAGGTCACGGAATATCCTTTTGAGATACGCGTAATCTGGCTTGTCATCAAATCTTAATGAGCGACAGTAATGGAAGTAAGATGCAAATTTTGTTGGATAACCCCGGCACATGGCTTCAATCGATGTAGAAACCTTTTTTCACTAATTTTCTCATACTTCTGTTTCTTGGTTCCTGCTTTAAGTCCCTGCCAAGGAAGACTCCCTCTCAAGAAGTACATCAAAACATAACCAAGAGACTCTAAATCATCTCTTCGACTTTGTTCAATGCCAAGGTGAGTATTCGTGCTAGCATATCTTGCAGTTCCGGTCAAATTTTTATTTTCCCTGTAAGGTATGTGTTGATGGGTTGAATTCAAGTCATAGTTTATTGTTGTTGCCTATGCAGGTGAATCATGAGCTGATGCAGGAGCTAAGTTGGTGCCGGTTAGAGGTGTTCTGAAGGTCTGTTATGGAATTCTCACTGAGTATCATTGTGATAGTTTGGCTACTTTGTTGTACTGCAGGTCGACATTGCACAGTGAGTTGTTGTGAATTATTGACTTCATGTGGTGTCCGCAACGGTTTGGCAAGGTGCGTGGGAATCGACGGTGCATTGAGGCCTGACTGAGCTCGCGTAACATCGTTCGCTTTGCGGTTTAGGAGATGGCTGAACAAAACAAGGAATTGTAGTGTGAATTGACAGAAACTTGCTCTTTTTAACAAAATGAATTTCCATAGTTTGATGATGTAAAGGACCTCTCATTTGCAGTAACTTCCCGTGAGCCTTTTTAGTGTAATGGGCTTAAATTGTCCATGGGTTTTTTGTGTAACATTTCTTGTATTGGTCATGATATTTTATGATGAACGTATATGGGTTCAAGTAATATGCTTGAAACAAAATAATGGATTCTTTAGTGATTCTCTTGCAAATTACTTGAATCATAGGTTTTAGTAATACAATAAGTCTTTGAAATAAATCTGCAATGCCCTGACTTATTCCATTTCTTGATTAGAAAGCAATCATAATTGAAATCACAAATAATTGCGTGTTCTCAATTAAAACTACTCTCAAATCTTCCCTGACCTGGATGATACTTTGAATTAGTCCTTGAGCATTAAAGTCAGTCACAGAACAAACTTAATCATGAGTCAATTGTCAAATCATTCTTGATGTTTGCCATTTGAAAACGTGATGAGTTGAAACCTTCATGGAACACTTCTTGAAAAATCAAAATATTATGACTTGAGAAATGAACTTCGGTACACTGCACATAACCCTGGTTGGGGCTTTAGTCACACACCATTTAAATCAATGCACCATGACCTTGATAACAAAATAGATCCCTTTCTTGCTGATGAATTAAGTCAAACCTGGACTTCGACATATACTTCACTCATTCCTACTTAATGAACCCCAACCAAAACCTATCCAATTCAGCTCAATCTTATGATGGAAGCAACATATATTTTTTTGATTTTTCTGCCCCTGACAACCACATATGCTTATCTGTTTGTCTTCAAGGACCTTGACTTGTCTCTGATAAAGGTAACCACTTGGTGACTTGAATATAACCTCCTTGATCAGGTTAAAAACCATTGGTAATTTTTTGTTAGACACACATTTCTTGATCCCCTGTGAAATGCAAAATGCTATGCAATGCAATGCTTATGTATATGCTGATGCAATGAAATAAAACATAAGCCAGAGAGGTCGGTCAAATTTTGGGGTACAACAGCTGCCCCTATTCAAACAGCTTGGGCCTGAAGGGATGAAAGGTAAGCGACTTTCATACAATCAAGGTAAAAGACGGTTGAATACCCAAGGACCCGGAAATTTGACAACCGCGAAACGAACTTCTGACATCGCCGCCAGGCACCCATATTAAGTAGAACGTCTGACCTTGCCGTTAGCTCTCAGCGTCAAAATTATAAATCCACTGACTTTATCGTCGGTCCTCAATATTTTCTGACTTCGCCGTCAAATTTTTTTTCACAGAACTTTGGTAAAGCCCCTGACTTTGCCGTCAGCTCTTCAAAATAATCTTCTGACCTCACCGTCCAATTTACAATATTTTCTGACTTCGCCGTCAAAAATTTTTTTTTCAAAATCGTCTTCTGACTTCGCCGTCAAATCTACAATATTTTCTGACTTCGCCGTCAAAAAATTTTTAAATTTTTTTTTTTTTTTAAAATCGTCTTCTGACTTCGCCGGCAATCCTCAGAATGATCTGACCTCGCCGTCAATTTTTCCGTTAAATACGAACAGCCATTAAATTCGAAGATATAGTTACTTTTGACATTGCCGTCAAAACAAACTTTCAACATCACCGTTGAAGAGTACAATTACTTTTGACATCGCCGTCAACATAAACATCTCAACATCGCCGTTGAAGAATACAATTACTTTTGACATCGCTGTCAACACAAACATTCAACATCGCCGTTGAAGAACTAAATCATCTGACATCGCCGTCAGAACAAACTTTCAACATCGCCGCTGAAGGGTACAATTACTTTTGACATCGCCGTCAACATAAACATCTCAACATCGCCGTTGAAGAATACAATTACTTTTGACATCGCCGTCAACACAAACATTCAACATCGCCGCTGAAAAACTAAATCATCTGACATCGCCGTCAGAACAAACTTTCAACATCGCCGTCGAAGATCTAAACCACTTGACATCGCCGTCAAAACTAACTTCTCAACATCGCCGTTGAAGAATCAAATCACTTGACATCGCCGTCAAAACAAACATTCAGCATCGCCGCTGAAGGACAACCTCTTGACATCGCCGTCAAAACAAATATTCAGCATCACCGCTGAAGATCAATCACTTGACATCGCCGTCAAAACAAATATTCAGCATCGCCGCTGAAGGACAACCACTTGACATCGCCGTCAAAACAAATATTCAGCATCACCGCTGAAGATCAATCACTTGACATCGCCGTCAAAACAAATATTCAGCATCGCCGCTGAAGGACAACCATTTGACATCGCCATCAAAACAAATATTCAGCATCACCGCTGAAGAACCAAATCACTTGACATCGCCGTCAAAACAAACTTTCAACATTGCCGCTGAAAAAATCAGATTATTGACATCGCCGTCAAACCTTCGCTAAATATAAGCGAGCAACGAGATTCGAACGAATTTAAGTCCATCCTTTGGTGACAATCACAAAAGAAATCCGCTGGGGAGACAACATGAGCTGGGGTCTAGCCAACACACGGGCGAAGATACTAGTCATCTGTGGGATTCACTTGAAACAAAAGGGTAACGACTCAGCTTATGTTTCACATGCATATGTTTGGATATGATGAAATGCTCCATACGAAATGGAAATGCTTCGCGTTCGGGTAGATGCTATGCATGTATGTAGATGCAAATGAACCACTTTAGCAAAATAAATGCTAAAGAGAAAGAGCCAACTCCGTTGAGTCAGAGCTAGATACGCCTAGCGCAAATAAACTCATGCTGGGGTATGCAAGCTGTGGATGGCCTCCGAGAAAACTTCTGGGTAAAACTGCTCCGCTAAGAACAAAACCACTCCGCTGGGGATCCAAATCAAACTCTGCTGCGGAAAACGTCCCGGATGGCCTATCAGCCTACAACTCTTCTGGGGATCAAGCAACTTGGCTGGAGGCAACAACTCCACTCTACCGGGGAAATCAGCTATGAATGATTAGCCAGAATAACTCTATTGGGGAAACACAACAGATTACTGAGGAATAGCTCCATTCTGTCGGAGATTGAATCCGCTATCTGCTAGGGATTTTGAATAAGACTTACTGGGAGCTTATCCCACACTTATCTCTGCTGGGGATGGAGATGAACGATCTCTGAGTTAGTTCCACTCTGTGGGGAAGGAAAATTAACTCCGCTGCCTTGGCTGGGGGTTAGATAAGGAGGGAACCAACCTCTGCTTGGGGAAAATGAGAAGTAAACTCAACAGTAATCAACTTCCGCTTGAGGAACGAGTCAATGATCTAGACTCTGATGGGAAAGGAGTCAATTGTTCAGACTCTGTGGGGATAACAGTACTGCACTCGCCCTACTGCTGGGGAAATAAACCCAAATCTGCTTCTATAACTCTGATAAGCTCTGAAGATATGGAGAGGAACACATCTCCTTTGTTTACGATTTTGCCCCAGCCTGTGGGACTTTTGTAAAAACCTTCCTCGAAAGGAAACCTGAAATTTTGGTACCCTGATGGTTAGATATGAACTGCCTCAGCGCTTCGAACCCCGAAGAAGTGCTTCAAGTCAATTTCCTTTCTGGATGAGGATAGTTTTCGTGCTCCTGGGGTGGCCTGCCCCAGCTTTGAAGTGATTTTGCCCCTGATTGGCTGAATTTGGAGAAGCCTTTGACTTCGAGAGATTTACCTAATCTCGACCTGATTGCCCCAGATTAACTGCATCTAGGAATGACCGACTCCGCTTATGTTTACCTGATGTGACTCGCCCCTTCTCAAAGGAGTACTCGGGCGCTCTATATCTTATTTCTATCAAACTTCGCATTGTAGAAACTTTCCTGATGTCAAATGCTTTCTTGGGAGTAAAACAATTTGTTTTGCAAAAGATAATATTAATGCAATGCATATGACAGTTTTGAGATCCAAGTCTGTTCACTGGAAAAATTTGTGGCATTTAGTGAACGAATCACTTATCAAAAAAATATCAATATCCATACCCATAGGGTAAGAAAAATCCTTTTAGGAGTCAGTTTCGACGCGATCTTTACCGAAGTATGCTTTCGAAACAAACCTGCTTCAATTAGGACTTTTGAAGGTTGTAACTTGGTCAGGTTCACGGTTTGAAATAAAGGATTTAAGGCTCAAAGTTCTGTTTAACCCACCCACTCTCCTCAATATTCTCCAATCCTATGTTCAGCTAATTCGATACAAGCGCTCACCTCTCAAAGGTTAAATGACTGGAGTGATGGTTCGGGAAACCACAAGTTTTTGGGGTGACAGTCACTCGCTTTTTGTCTTTGGTGCCTGAAGTCACACGACTTGTTTTTCATTATCATTCATTCCCTATTTTTTCATGGACTGACTCTTTTGAGTATATTCTTTGATTCCAAAGTCCAGCGGGATAGCCTAATTTTTGCCTAAGCCACTTGT